GGGAGGGGGGAACCATATGGAGTTGCTTGGGCTCTGTTCAGATACTAGGTTTCTTACCTTGGTTGGCTAAATTCAACATCTTTGGATCTCTCTTCAGAAGTGTCTTCTCTTGTTTGATTGTGTCTGTAATTCTTCGGTAACAACTTCTTCCTTACATGATCATTTTCACTATTTCGTCTGATTCTTACGATCACTCTTAAAGATACTTGTTTGATTAACGCAATGCTTGGCACTCTCTCTGGTAACCTTGGACTACATTGTCATCATGTTTGCATCTTCGGTGTGAAACATGTGAGGTTTTAGAGTTCCATTGTCTTCGTCTGGTCGTGTGGCATTAGGCAATAGGCGACCAGAAGGTGCAGGTAGAAACAGGAGAAGTGCTTCTTCATTGAGGAGAAGCCTTTTCTTGTCTTATTCTTCAGGTGGGTGGTGATACTCATGGTTAGTATTCATGTCACAGGAGCTGCACAAGAGGCGTATGCAGATAAAGGCGAAGTCGAAGATCCAGAAGAAGGGAAAAGGTTTGCCCTTTTTTCTGTATGGTAAAAGATTGGATCTTATTCATCCGTTATCATCTACTAAAGCTTCTGTGCAAATTGCATCAGACGGTAAGAGACCCGGGTTCAAGAATCTTGAAGGTAGAGCACCTGAAGATAGTGATAGTGATATCTGTATGAAACCGGAATACTCAAGTTCTATTACAGTCGAAAAAAGCGATAAGAACGGAGGATCCTCCTCTGGTGTAGACAACAAAACTGGGTATCGGCCACCAAAGAAGCTACATTGGGGGTGAGTCTGTCTCTGCAGTCATTTTTTTCTATTCTATAAATGTTTTCGGGTAACTCTGCTGACCTGGGTGTGCTCGGGTTATCTCCTTTTGAGCAACTTGCTAAGTCATGATGCTTGTTTGGGTTGGATTGTGTTGTGAGCAGACTTGAACCGAAGGAACGGTGGGAGAGAAAAGCCAACATGTAGAGAGATTGACACACTAAACAATCGAGGACCAAAGCAATCAAAACAGTTTCAAGCAATGCCTATGATTGTGTTTCAGATGTCCGACGGAAAGATCGCCGGAGAAGATGAACTCGACAGTAGAGAGAGAACAGTTATAGAGAGAGAAAGCTTAGAGAGAGAAAATGATTTGTATTCAATCGTTAATTCTGTTTGTACAGTTTACTGGAGCTTAAATACTCTGTTTGAAATATAAACCCTCTACTTCTATCACAGGCTTATATGTACATATGTTATATACACTGATATTGTGATCATATGTTCATGGAAAAGTCTTAGAATTGATGTCCGGTGAATCTATCAGTATTTTGCTATGATTGGAAGTGTTGAATTCGGAATGGCATGCAAGGTGTAACACTTTGTGTTGTTATAATGATGTATACAATTACGAATACTGAACTCTGTGGCTCGTAAATAATTCAGTGCTGACATGTTTACTAGATACTGCTTTAACTTATGTTTCAGGAGCTCCTTCCCTGAGATCCAGGAACTAACTGGACGGGAATGAAGACAAGCAAAACATGTCGTAAGCATTAAAGATATTGATCAAACAAAGAAGTGAAGTTGAAGTTGACATGAACGTTTGAACAGAAAAAGTTGTCTGCATTGGAAATCCTGATCAGAAAAAAGATGGAGTGTTGAAGATGTGAATATTTAAGGTCTAACATGCATTGCTATGTATATTTGGGCAGAAAACGATGGTGGGATCTTGTAAATAAAACTTTGAAAATCTTGACAACTGAAACAAGGAATAATAACAGTTCAAGAAGTTCCCTCTTCATCCAAACGCCACCAAACTGGAAACTCAAAGCATTCTATCCCACAAAAACGTTGAGCAGAACAAAATTCATCTCATCATATGCTTCGTTCATTCATTGATAGGGTATTCAAACACGACATCCTTCCCCGTAAGCTTCCGGTAAACACCCATCATTGTCTCGAGCTTGTACTCGGTGTTGTTCCTCTCCTTGGCGTCCAAAAAGATCTGATTATACAATTTTAAAGGTTAAACATGTAACCCAGCCAAATCTTTCAGAAAATCAAGCTAACATGAATGTCCCATGTTACCTTCTGAACCTTGGAGCCATCGAGGCGGAATCTGATGCGTTTCCCGACAATCTCGGCGGGGTAGGCGACATCCTCAAGCATGGCTTCATGGACAGCAGTAAGAGTTCGGGTTCTTGGCCTTTGAACAGCAGAACCCTTCTTCGGAGGACGCAATATCCTTCTGGTGGCAACCACGATAACATCCTGAACAATGTTCGTACATTAGTATCACCATCCAAATACCAAAATTTCATTTGAACAACCAAGAACCCTTGATACTGACTATGATATCAGAGTAAAATAGATTGCCTAGGCAAGCTTTACATACATGGTGATTACAGAGAACCGGCTTCTCATGGCTGGCAATACACAAAAGTGAAACCAAATGATGAAAAATCAAATTACCTTGCCACTGAACTTCTTCTCGAGCTCCCTAACAAGGCGAAGATGAATCTTGCGGAAAGCCTTCCTCAATCTGAACGGAACATAAATCACAACAGCCTTGCGGTTTCCGGATATATCCATGTGACTACATAGAAAAAACACATGACCCATGAGTTAAATCACGAGAAAAACAAGACAATCTATTTCGCCAATGAGATACAAATTACAATAACACATACACTGCTTGGTTGATGTACAGATCTTTCAAATCGCTTTTCAACTCCTGGTTGGTATTCTCCAGATCAAAGAAAGCCTGAGAAGGCCAGTTACAGGTATCAATCAGTAACCACAATTCTTAAAACTTAAGAATGAATGGCAATAAGTTTAAGAGATAACGTGAATGAGAACCTGAGCAACTTGCTCCTCGAACTCAGTAGGTTCCACATCCTTGTCCTTACGGATCTTGTTCTGAGCAGAAAACATGTTTGCAGATCTACAAGCAAAAAAATGAGACGATGATGATTTAGCCAAACTAATCCCATGGCAGCAACAAGCTTCAACACAAATGTAGAGCATATGCAACAAAAAAAAAATCATCGTCTAGCCAAATCATAGCATCAAAATTAGCTGCTTTTAGTACCAGATTAGTTCAAAACATGCGAAGTAAAACGCCGAAACATAGCAAGCTAATTGTTCTGAGAAATTTTTTTAAAGATTTTTAGACGAGAAAAGCGCCATTGTTTGATGGTGTGAAGGAGCTCAACCAATCACATTATCCTAAACCCTAAAACCACGAATCAGATATATCACGAAAGTTGAAGTTTTCCTCCAAATTGACATAGGTGAATAAAACCACCAGCGTATCCCTGGAAGAGAAGAGGACCAAACCCTCCACCGAAATCGGAAGCGAAACAAAAATGATAGGTAAAGTAGAATCAAAAACTAACAGGCGTACCGAGCAGCGAAAATTGGGTCGAAATCCGCAGAGACGACGAAGAACCCTGGGGGCTGCTGCTGCTGCTTCAAAGAGAGCTACGAAATTAGGGTTTTCCTGCTCTTATGCTGTTTTGGGGGATGCCAAGTAGGGTTTAGAATGTCGTTAAAATTTTGAGGCCCATTCATTTAGATCTCATTAAGGCCCATTTAGGCCCAATAACAGTAAGGAAAGACGTTTTCAAATATATTATTAAAAAACAATTCTACACAAAGAATGGGTGCCCAAATCCAAAACAAATCTCGGAAATCACAGTCAACTTCGGAGAGGATAAACCGAAAAAAGATTTGTTTCTACGTCACAAGATTTCATAAACCCGAGTAGTTATGGGTTCCTAAGGAATTAAAAAAAAAAAATCGCTAATCTCAATGGTTATTTACCCCAAAAAAAATATTTCCTTACTCACAACCCTTTTAAAAAAGAAACTTTTTTTCAAAAAAAAAAACAAATAAACGGATAATCATGAACGGAATTAGTGAATGCTACGGTGTAAAGGAATGAAAAGCGATAGCTTTGATGATTTCAGAGCCATTTCTTCTCTTTCTTCCCCCCTTCCATAACCCTAACAATTTTTTTTTAAAAAAAAAAAACAGAATTATTCGAAAGACGAAAAATCGGATCCGACAAAGTGGCCACGGCGACCATTTCATGCCATCATCATAATAGTAATAATAAAAAAGGTTCGATCTTTTTTTCTTCATTTGTTTAGTGAGACTTACTCACTAACAACTAGCATCGATGCGTTCGTTCGTACGCGTAGGGCTCAACTCAACGGGTGATTTTACAAAGACGATACGCCCCGCGGGCGGTGAGGTTCGATGGACAAAGCCCAATGAAATAGTGACACGTATCCCCGTATGAGCTGGAGAAATTAGGTTGTGTGACAGTAACAAGGCAGTCACGTGGGGTAGAACATGGGGCACGCAGAACGTGATTAGGTGAGGGACTGTGGTCTGATTGAGAGATCTTCGACCAACAAATGAGTTGGATCCAATCTTCTCTTCTTTCAAAATCTTGCAATATATTATATTATATATATATATAATATTTAAAACTCAAGAAACAGTTGCTAATGTTACAGCTTAACAGTCGATGATATATATATATATATATATATATATATCCCTTAATTTGTTCTTCTTCTTCCTTCCAGTATTCAGGGCGTGAATGGCGCGCATGTCGGGGAAAAAAACAAATCGTTGCATCTATTTTTCCACGATTGTATAATTTATTTTAAATTTTATTCGGTATTTTTCTTTTTCAAGCAAAAGGGGATGGAGGAATAGTCAACTCTGCTAGGGTTGTCGTGTCGGACGATGTTTTCAATGACTTTCTTTTTTTTTTTAAAAAAAACGTCAAACTTACCACTGATATCACACATGCCTTCTTTTTTTCATTTCATTATTTCTTTATTATTATTTTCTAGGGGTAACTATTATTCCTTTATTATTATGACACCGAAAACGCATCTTTAATATGGCAAAGAAAAAGAAACACGTATTTAATATGGAAAATTCTGTGACATCTACGTAACAGCTGTATATTAAAATAGCATAATGACCCGTATTTACGAGGTGCATTCAAATATCCTTACAAAAGGATATAGTTATGTAAATAATATATGAGTATTCTTGTGTTCACATTTTAAGGTGGAATTTCCATTTATCTCAAAATACGAAAAAAAAAAGATTTTTTTTTGTTTGTTTGTTGTTGTTGTTGTTTTCGGAAGTAATGGTTTCTTTAAGATGGTAATTCCAAATATTTTAAATATGTCCACGAATGATATTTATTTTAAAATTAGAAAATCACGAAAACGACGCCGTGTGGGTGTCATCTTCATACTTGCCCACAGTTTCTCTTTTCGCTTCTTCCTTTATAAAACCCATTCGCATCCGCTCATTTCTCTTCTCTGTCTCCTTGTACGCGGCGGCTACGTTGTGGATCTCTCTCTCTCTCTCTCCCCCGGGGAAATTCTTCAGGTTTCTCTCTCTATCCTTCTCTTCTATAACTCCGTTTATGGCGGACATGACAGAGTAGAGAGTTGTTTGTTTCAGATCTCTCTTTCAATCTCGTTTTTTTTTGGGGCCGGGTTCAAGCTTTCCGGATCTGGGTTTGCTTGTAGATTTCTGGTCAACGTCTTGTTTGCCCGATCCGAACTGTTTTCGGTCTCAATCGCCCTTGTAAACCCGATTCCTTTATAATTTTGAATGATCTGTTTTCCCCTCAGTGATTCGTGAGTTTGGGGTCTGATTTTGGGGGAACTTTGTTTTTTCTCTCCTGTTTCGGATGAGTTGTTCAGATTCATTTGATTTTTCTATTCAGTCCTGAGTTTCTGTTTGGCTTCCTAGAAAACTAGGGGGATCAGGGCAAAGCTGGATGATTTGGGGGGAATCTTATCCAGTAATTCTCGATCTACTGTCGTTTGAATTTGAATGAAATCAGACCCATAATTTTGAAGTTTTCTCAGATGTTCTCAAGTGCTGAAGATCTCTTTTATTGTGTATCAAAAGCGTGTCTTTAATGAGTGATTTTAAGCTGAAGCTCAGAATCTGTGTAATGATATGGTGTTTGATCTGTTTCCTGATGCACAGATTAGGCGTTCTTCTGCAGATCAAGGTGGTTCGAAGATGAATCATTGCAACCTTCAGCAGAACGCCTTCGTTTCCCGCGACGAAATGAGAGGGTTTGTTCCGATCTGCGATCCGAAGGACCTCGTCGTCTGCCCTAAGCCCCGACGTGTCGGTATCCTCGCCAACAACGGCATGCGGCCTCTTAGATTACACGTGAGGTAACAAAGTCTCTTCCTTTTATGCGTACTTCGTCTGATAATTTGTATGGATTGCTTCAGTAACATCGCATATGCTCTGATCTGGACAGAAAGTTTTATAGATCTTAATGAATTTTGTTTTGGATTTCAGTCAAGCCGCTGAGGTGTGTGATTCTAAAGCAGGGGCAGAGCTTTTGGACATAATCCTCAGAAAGGTGTGTATCTGTTTGAGTGTTCTTTCATTCGAGTTCCGTTTCAGTGATTCTGTCAAGTAGTGCTCCATGATTCGAATCTGACAATGTCTTGTAACTGTCCAGGAGGATTATGGAACAGGGCAATCGGTGTTGTCTGTAGGGTCATCGCCCCCATTTTTTTGCGGGTCGCCTCCAAGCCGGGCAGTGAATCCACAAGTGCAAGATGCTCGTTTTGGAGATGAGAAACTGGACCCGATCTCGCCCTCGCCCTTGTCGTCCGGTTTCCCGTCTCCAACATCGGCAGCATCTCGTGGCAAGGGAGGTTACGTTAGAATGAAGTTTGGGCTGAAACCAGCCGCAGTTAGAGTAGAAGGATTCGATTGCCTGAACAGGGACCGCCAGAACTCGAGCATCCCTGCCATGGCTTAGAACAGAATTCAAAGTGTACATAAACCCGGTATTCAAAAGACATCACCATCATCATCGTCATCATCATTATCCTAACGAAGGAGGAGAACCATTTTTTGAGCAAAATTTTTTTTTTGTTTTCCCTGGGAAAGGGAGGAGGAGATGGAGAAGAAGATCAGTTTCCACCACAGCCGCCATTATCACAGTTTGTAACTATGAGGTTAGTGTGTGTGTGTGTATATACAAGTAGTAGTAGAGTTAAGAAATTTATGTTTTGATTCTCTCCTTCTAATCTATGAAGCCAATGTGTAATGTGAGTGTTTTGTCTGTTTCCTTTTCTCTGGGAATCACCAGTGAAGAAATAAGAAAGTGTGGTTTCTATGTCACTGTTGTATAGATTCTTCTTGGTGATTTTCTTTGTAAATGTTATGTAATTCTGTGTTTTATATGTATGTATATATATATATTGTTCTTGAGAATCTGTCTAACAGTTCAAATCTATTCGATCTAGTGGATAAATTTGTTCAAATTACAAATGTACAAACGTGTTCTGTTCGATATGCATGCATGTCAAAATCGAACAATAAAATTCAAAATAAAAAAAAATATTATTTTGTACTAGATGTATGGTTTTTTTATGATTTTAAAATATAATCTGCAAATATATATATATATATATGCTAGCAGTGAAATAAAATTTTGGACTTTGTCTTTTAATATTTTTTCGTAAAGAATTTTGTTTGATATGCAAATTAATTTCGAAATGCTACAAAGGGATTTTTTTTATATAACTATTAAAATGCAAAAATAATCACTCCAATGACAACCTCAAGGCAAGAAATGAAATAAAAACACCACATTCCTCGTTCTTATATAATAAATAAAATATGATTCATGAAAAATCTACATGTACAGTTTTGAAAGTTAATGAAATACCAACCTTTAAAAAAAAAAAAAAAAAAAAAAAAAAAACCACCCTGGCAGACGAAAAAAAAACGATTTTAAAAGGAAAAAACGCATCTCTTGGAAAAATTCAATTACAATTGTTTTTTAAAAAAGGAAAAGAGTAAAAAAGATCCCGTAAAAATAAATTCAAAATCTGCGAACCAAAACAAATAATAACAATTTTAATCCAATCAGAATTTTCTTCCCGTTTTAATAAATTAAAATCAATACTCACTTGAATGAAATCTGTGTCTCTTGCGACGGCCGTTAAGTTAACTGTCACTCCCGCCTTTCGCTTTGTTCTCTCTCTCTCTCTCTCTGTGTCTCTCTCGAACACACCCATTCGTTTATTTAAGCACTTTGAGGATCAAACATGTTTCTTCCTCTTGCACTCTCTCAAGCATCTGAAACGGTGCTTGAGAGATTCTCACTTCACTCCCCTTCGCTTTTAGTAAACCCCCCGACGGGTTCTGGTTCTGGTCCGAGATCGAGCATTCGTCAATGGCGGGGGATCCAATGTCCGACGCTGACGACTCGTTCCATGACCCTTACGACGGTCCTTTCACCGACGAAGAACTCTTCAATATCATCTCAGACCCCGACCCCAGTCTCCTGGATTTGTCTCTGAATGATCCAATCATTGGCGATGCTAACCCTCCTCTTCCTCCTGCACCAATGGAGACAAGCATTAATGTTAACAATGTTGTTGGGGACCCGCCATTGCCCGAATTCCCTCACGGATCGACTAACGATCAGACTCTGTCGTGGACGAGGATCGGAATGTTGGGCGATGAAGCCGTTGGAAATGTCGGAGATGGCAACAACAATCTCGAAGGGAGTAGTTGGGAGATTAGGGGTGATCATCTCCATCAACATCAACATCATCAGCATCAGCATCATCCTCCTCATCCTCACGATCAACATCAATATCAATATCAACAACAACAACAACAACAACAACAGCAGCAGCAGCAGCACCAGCAGCAGCATCAACATCATCATCATAATGCTGAGAGTTATGAAGCGGGTGAGTCGTCTTCGATGCCAGTCTCTGTTCGTCCACCACGGGGGGAGGGAGGCGCTTTCGTGTGCAATTGTTGCCAACCCCTTCGAGAACTCATTCACACCAATGGTAATTAATTTCTACCCTTTTTCGATCTGTTTTTCTCTCGGTTTTTGATTCTAAACTGTACAAAACAAATACCTGTGTTCATATATATACATTTTAGGTCAAGAGGTTACGAGACTTGATATCCACGGAAGAATCGGGATGATCTGCCACGCGAATCTCATCATCCAACCGGACATAGCAACTTCCGAGGAGTATGGATACCAAACATTCCAGTAAGTGAAATCTCTGTCTTAACTGCGGTAGTTTAGTCTCATTAATTTCAACTCATGTCTGAGACTTGTGTTATTGGAAACCAAAAAAAAAACAGTTTCGGTAACCAAAGCAACGAGGAAGTGAAGGAGTTCTTAGAGCAGTACTGTGCAGAGAGGGCTCAGGCCGGTTTCTGGATGGTTCAAGATTCGCTCGCATCTTTCTATCAGATGATGAGCATTGGTCTAGACATGGACCCGCACGGCTTGGAGCCTTTCGACACCGGTTTGCAAAACTCCGGTATTTACATACATATATACGTAATCACATCTTTCTTTCTGAAATTGTATATCTACACATACAAATCAAAACATTAATTGATGGTTGTTAAATCTATGGCTTTTAGCTTCTGATGTGGTAGTACCGATAGCGTCAACGTCTGCCGCCACTGTGTCTGCTGCGCCTGCGCAAGAGGAGCCGCCGCCGGTGAAGAACGAGCAGGCGGGACCGTCAAAGGAACGAGAGAAGAAGAAAACTCCTCTCGCTGCTCAGGTTCGGTCATTCACTCACTCATTAAATCCTTAAAACCGTTTCTTGCGAAAGAAGAAATCTAGGGTTTCTCCTCTGTATAGAAACTGAACCCTGTTGTTGATACGGACGAGGAGAAGAGCAGAGGGAAAGAACGGGGAAGCTAACGCTGAAGGACATTGGAAAATACTTTCACCTTCCGATAGAAGAGGCGGCCAGGACGATGAAGCTGTGCCCTACGGTGGTCAAGAAGATTTGCAGGAGAGGAGGGTTAGCAAGATGGCCTCACAGAAAGGTGACGGAATATATATATATATATACACACACACACACGCACTTACTGTTATCAAGGATAGCCATGGAATTACGTAATTATGCATGCATGCATGCAGATAAAGAGCGTGGAGAGGAAGATGTCGACGTGGAGGAGTGTGATAAGGACGACAAAGAAGCCGGAGGAGAGGGCTCGCGCTGAAGCCGAGATCCAAAAGCTCGAGGCTGAGATCGATAAGATTCGTTCTGACGCCCTTAGAGACTTTGATTAATTACTAATTACTTTTCTTCATATTGGTTGGGGGGGCAAAACACGTTGTAATATTAATTAATTATAATAACATGCCTCCTCCTCCTTAATTTGTAGTGACAGAAACAAACGGAATCGATAAATTGTTTACGAGAGAAATCATTTATTTATTTCTCGAAACGACGGGAATATCCTAATCAATTGGGCAGATTAATTAAAAAAGGATTAAGTAAATCAAATGATGATTAGGAATTTAATATCCGCCCACAGTCATCAGAGAAAAGGGACCGAGAAACAGACGAAGTATAATTAACTAACGATTATAATTTTACGTAATAAAATAGGGTAATAATTTTCGGCGGTGAAATCGTCTCATGTACCACGTTGTTTGTCGTGGGACCCATGCTAGGCCCAATAGAAAATGGGCCTTTTTACATATATTATGTTATTGTTATTATATACATATATATAATATATGTATGTATATAAATTTTCTGATTCATGGCTTGTGAGTGGTAGCTTACTTCTACGAGAATCGATCCCTTGTGAAGAGGAGAGACTATTTTCTTTTCCGTTTCTTTTTTTGGTTTACTTCCATATGATTTTCATGTATATATTTCTTGCTACATGATAAAAATGGACCAAACTTTATCTCCAATAAAATATTCTTCGATATCATGAAAAGATAAATTCCCGAAATCAAATATTTGAACAGGAAAGACGGAATATTCTTATACAAACAAACAAAATAAGTCAAATCTTTCCTTTAAAAAAAATCTCATCTCTTTTCTGTTTAATTCATGTATGGATTACATGACATGATGGAATTGATTTTCATATCATATGATTCAATCTTTCATTTATATGACATGTATAAGTGTATTATACAACTAAATGAATTCTTAAATAAATATAAACGCTTTTAAAAAATTATAAAAAAAAATACTCTATGATATCATAATGTGGTTAGATATTTTATGGAATCCAATGCCGATAGTTGGTATTCTTCGTTGAAATTTTGGCATTCTGGTCAAAATGCATACGAATTATGGCTGTTAGATATTCAAGATGGTTCAATTAATAATAGGTGTTTAAAATCATTTTATAATCCGATGGTTCAAAATTTTATATGGGGAGGAGAATTCATCTTGACTTTTTCAATTTTCTATAAGATATAATTGAGTCGAAAATTTGATAATTTTTCATACATGAAAAAAAAATCGATGTTAGATATCAAAATCTAACGCGGTAGAAGTTTCTAATGAATTTTAGAGTTTTAAAAGAGTTAGGGTATTTATTTAAAAGTTTGTAAAATTTTATTTAAATATTATTATTTAATAATATGGTTTGGAATTTTTTTTTATTATATATATATATATATATATATATATATATATACACTTACACACTGTTAGACTACGATTTAATCAGACTTGAATGTCATACTAGAGTTCTGAAATTTGTTATTATCAAACTATAAAATGATATAATGAAAAAAAAATACTACTTTGATTTTTCCGCTATTCATTCTGTATATAATTTTATGTGAATTAATCTAAGTAAATAAAAACAATTTAGTAGTATCGTGGGTATATGTGAGGCTCAAAACACTAGTTATTAATTATTTATCCATAAATTTATAATATTCCAACGTTTAAATCATGAGAAAATTCTCCCATAAAACAAAATACTGCATAGTTATCAGATTTACCCCTTAAAAATATATATATATATAATGTCATAGCATATTCGAGAGGGAATATTGCAAGGATTTTGTAGATTTGTGTTATTTGTACTTAGTAGCCCATATAGAATCTTTGACCTCTTTTAATTCGGTGGTGGTACATGTTGGCATATGTGAAGAATACAAGAAATTTGGGGAGAGAGAATCTATAAAGGGTGGCTTAGTGGTTGTACAATATATATATATATATATATATATAGTAATCGATCAATTGGTATACATTATAATAAATACGAAAAAAAAACAAAATTTGACTAGTCCAACCGGTGAAATGTGATGTAAAACGTCTATTTCATCCCAAATTCGAATTTTAAATTTGGAAGATAGAATATATAATCTAAATCATATGATTGATTTTCGATTTTTACCCGGGGTGGGGTGGGGTGTAGGTTGTCCGATTATAAAAAAAAATAAAAAGAAAATACGACAAAAACAAAAGTAAAAGCCAGTCATATAACTTGACAGAACCACACAAGTTGCACGATCAAATCAACAGATATAATCATGGAACTATTCAAAACCCCACGAGATAGAATAAAATTCTTCAAGATAATAAAATATGTTCGGAATATTATCTATCCAAAAGTTAAAAATCTTCATGTGAAATTTAAATAATAATAATTTTTTTAATAAAAAAACAGCACAAGATCCCCCTCCGCGGCTGGTCAAACACGGGACTCACACTCAGTTTCAACAATCGGTCAATAGCATACGTGCATGCTTATACATCACACGATATTTTCTTCGTTATTATACAAACCTATCGTGAAATAGATTTGCAATTCCGGTCCCGAATCGTATTATTAATTTTCGGTCTCATATTAGTCTGAACATTGATCCACGATATTCGATTATTTAAAAAAAAATTTATCTAAAATATAGTTCTTGAATATTTACAATTACTATATACTACGGTTCAAAATCAAAATAAGCATTTTGATAATAGGAATATAAATAGATTTCAGAGTTCATATTTACAATGCTTTTGGAATATGGAATTCTTCCACGTGAAATACAGTGCCACTAGTCAGATTGACAACAAGTTAAAAGCAAGAAGCTTCTTGGAACTCCTCCAATATAGGATCATTCCTTCAATTATTTAAATCAATTAAATTTCACATAATTCCAAAATAAAAACACACATTTTATACATAATTCTCTATATAAGGGCCCTCACCAAGTAGTATACCACGTACCATAATTCATCCCCCGTAAAAAAAACCTAAAACAAAAAGACTAATTCATCCTTAATTTCCTTAATGGCGGCCATTTCCTTCGTCTCCAACAACCACCGACTTTCCGACAACCGCCGTCACCACCACGGCCCTGTCGTGGAGGAGATCGACCCTCTCCTTCGGGTTTTCAGCGACGGTTGCGTCGAGAGGCCTCCGGTCGTCCCGACCGTCCCACCATCCGTACTCTCAGACCCATCTAAACTCACGGCCTCGGACATCAAACTGACCAATGACATCTGGACACGTGTCTACGTACCGGCCGGACACCACACCCCTCTTCCACTTCTCGTCTACTTCCACGGCGGCGGCTTCTGCGTCGGCTCCGCCTCATGGGGTTGCTACCACGAGTTCTTGTGCAACGTCGCCGTCAAAGTCCGGTGCGTCATCGTATCGGTAAATTACCGTTTAGCCCCTGAGCACAGGTTACCGGCGGCGTACGAGGACGGCGAAACCGTCATTGCATGGATAAAGCAGCAAGCTTTTGATAAAAACCAGAAGTCTTGGTTAAGTAAATGTGACCTATCGAGCGTGTTCTTGGTCGGAGATAGCGCCGGAGCGAATATAGCGTACCACGTCGCCGTGAGGTTAACCGCGAGTGGCAGATCCGTAAATCCATTGAACTTCAAGGGCATTGTACTAATCCAACCCTTTTTCGGCGGGGAATCGAGAACGGCGTCGGAGAAGGTCTCCGACAAAAAGAACTCGAACTCGGCCCTGACTATGTCGGCGTCTGACACGTACTGGCGTCTGGCTCTACCACGTGGAGCGACGAGGGACCATCAGTGGTGCAACCCTAACCCGGCGAGTCTGCGGGAAGCTGGGAAGTTTCCGGCGGCGATGGTGATGGTGTCGGAGATGGATGTGTTGAAAGACAGAAACTTGGAGATGTGTAAGATGATGAGAGGATGTGGTAAGAGAGTGGAAGCTGTGGTTTACGGAGGAGTTGGGCATGCCTTTCAGATTCTCCATAACTCTCCCATGGCTCACGTTCGAGTCCAAGAAATGATGTCTCACCTCAAGAACTTCATCAATCCATGACCCGTATACATACATGCATACATACATATATATATATATATGCTAGTGTTTTGTTAACTGTATCTAATGATCAGTCCTAAGTAATGTAGTTGCGATATAGATGTGTTTAATTATGCAATTAGTGTTCAATGGAAGGTTACAGTTATTACTTAGTTTGAGACACTGTTATTATCCTGCTTTTGGAAAATGTTTCATAATTCATGGTAACGTAATTACATATAAGAATTATTCTGAATGTACATGTTCATAATTATCTGTATATAATAAGTTGTATTTCAACAACTGTATGTATGTAGAGACGATAACGTATTTAAGGTCGAGTTCGATACTGAATGAGATAACATAAATTTTTTTTTTCCACATTTTCTCCGGTTTTCTCTCATTTTCTCTATTCAACTGTCTGAACTCGATCTGTTCATACGTCCCATTTGAGAATAATTATCAAAAGTTATTTAAGACACATGGTGATCTATAAAAAAAAAATACATACAAGTTTAAGAATTTAAATGTGAAATGAATCTAAACAGGTCTTGTTCTAAATTATAATAGAAAAGCATTTTGGAATCGAGTTTAGATGTTATGCAGTCCCAAATGAAGAAAAATATGATGTTTTCTCCTTTCGGAAGTTTTTCTCCATAGACAATAATTTTTTTTTTATAAAAGGGGAATCAAAGTGGACAGATGAATTTGTCGTGGCGTGATACGGTGTCGTTTTTATATACCCGTCGACTCGTCCAGAGGTTTTCCTTTTCCCTCACCCTCACTTCGCATTCTCGCGTCAGCAAAAATTTTGAAAGCAGGAAATTAAGAAATACAAAAGCCCCATTTGAGTTCCAGAAAGCCCTAGTACATCCATCTCTCTCTCTCTCTCTCTCTCTCTCTCTCTCTCTCTCTCTCTCTCTCTCTCTGTTTCTCCATCCCTGTGCGAAAGGCAAAGGCTTTGAGAATGTCGCTGCGAGTTCTGAACCCTAATGCCGAGGTTCTCAACAAATCTGCGGCGCTTCACATGAACATCAACGCCGCCAAGGGTTTGCAGGATGTCCTCAAGACCAATCTCGGTCCTAAAGGAACCATCAAGATGTACGTCCCTCTCTTCGGATCTCTCCGACTGTTTCTTCTCTGTGTTTCGTTTTCGTTCCTGTTTTATTTTATCGTGTTTGTGCGTTAGGCTTGTTGGTGGTGCCGGAGATATCAAGCTCACCAAGGACGGTAATACGCTGTTGAAGGAAATGGTGGGTCCGACAAAACCCTAGATCTTGTTGATCCGTTGGAATTTAGCTTCGTGTTCCATTCCCAAGTATGCTTGTCTCGATGATGCTTATATATGTGTATACGCTGTTACCTGGCTTATATTTGCAGCAAATTCAAAACCCAACAGCAATCATGATTGCCAGAACAGCTGTTGCACAAGATGACATAAGTGGCGATGGTACCACTTCCACTGTCCTCTTCATCGGCGAGCTTATGAAACAGTCTGAACGCTACATCGATGAAGGTTAATCATTTGCTCCGTAGCTAAAATTGTCTGATTTTTTCTGTATTGAATTGTTCTTTAGATCTTGCCCAGGGATCTTTGCCGTTTCGGTTTGATAGTCTGTTTATTATCGTTAACCTTTAGAAGTGTTCAGTTGTCCTTAATCCCCCCCCCCTGCAATGTTTATTTTAGTTTGACATGAATTTGGTTTGTCTATAGGTTCTGGTATCTATTTGGTATTTTGAGAAATGGTACACTCACGAGTACGAGTTATGCTTATATCAGGAATGCATCCACGCGTTTTGGTTGATGGTTTCGAGATTGCAAAAAGGGCTACGCTCCAATTTCTCGAGAAGTTCAAGACACCTGTTGTCATGGGTGATGAGCCTGATAAAGAGATCCTAAAGATGGTTGCAAGAACTACTCTGAGAACCAAGGTACACTTCTGATTTTTTCAATATGTTCGCTTAGTTTTGGCCGTGGTCCTTCAATTCACTTGCTAACTTACCCTTTATTTTGTGTAGCTGTACGAATCTTTGGCTGATCAACTGACTGACATTGTTGTTAATGCGGTGAGTTTGCTGAGATTTCAATTGGAATATCATTGTTTTGTCATTTCCACCGGGGTGATGAATAAATTTTGCATCAGTCTTTTCAAGTATCCTGAGTGGCTACTTCCCATTTGAAACAGGTTCTCTGCATCCGAAAGCCCGAGGAACCTATTGATCTGTTTATGGTGGAGATAATGCACATGCGCCACAAATTCGACGTTGACACACGTTTGGTACGTCTTTAATTTCGTGATCTTATTGCTTGGTTCTAGTGTAACCTGTGGATGTCCAATTTCGTGTAACTTATGAATCTTCTAGCTTATAGGGTTAAATCTTTTACGGGATTTCGGTTGCTAATTATAGTACCATCTTGGTTTACTAAATCCATTAGGTTGAGGGGCTTGTCCTTGATCATGGTTCTAGACACCCTGACATGAAGCGACGTGCAGAGAACTGTTACATCCTCACTTGCAATGTCTCATTGGAGTATGAGAAGAGGTGTGTATCTAGAAATTTGTGTGTAATTATTCTGAAACACAGCATTTTGTTGCATTGCATTCTACTTTCTGTTTGTAATTTAGTTCTCTGGTTGATTGGGTAAAAGGAAATGAAAAGTCGCTAATTGGAAGAATGAACTCGTTTATCTATGGAAACTAGGAGATACAAGGGTTCACGGGGACTGTACTAGATCTTATCGAAACCTTTATTTAGAATCTGGACATAGTTGCCTTTTTCTTTGAATTTTATTTTTAAAATATCTTAATTGGTAGCTTTTGTTTTGTTATGCATTTTAATCAATTAGATAAGATGTATATATAGTTTTAATGATTGGTATCTAAAAAAAAACTTCTTTCCATCAGTGAAATTAATGCAGGTTTCTTCTACTCCAATGCGGAGCAGAGGGAAGCCATGGTTGCTGCAGAAAGGCGTTCAGTTGATGAAAGAGTCAAAAAAATTATTGAGCTGAAGAACAAGGTGAGTCTGAAACCACCTATTTCGGGCTACGTGGTTTGTTCTTTCAAGTATTTTACATGTTTTATTGCTTGTGCAGGTTTGTGCTGGCACTGATAACAGCTTTGTTGTCATAAATCAGAAGGGTATTGATCCACCATCGTTGGACCTTCTTGCTAGGGAAGGGGTAAGATGTAATTAGTTTATAACTTTTGTGGATCCATAATCATGTAGTTCCCGGTTGCCATTAGCTGGTAATAGTCATTTTGATGTCCTAGAAGAATCATAAAGTGCCACTGAAGGATGTGTAGTTAAGTAAATTGGATCTGACTGTAAAGGCAAAAGTAGCAATAATCCATTAATACAGAAACTAGTACCAAACAAAAATGGAAAGAGTATTTGCATAAATGCATTTTACTTCTGGAACTCACAATTTTTGCGTGTCCTTTATACTTAGCTTTCCTTTTCCGTGTTCTATTTGATTTTTTACATATGGAGGTTGTTAAATCTGGTTACTTTGTGTTTGTATGTGGGTGTGTCCAGATAATTGCCCTTAGAAGAGCAAAGAGGAGGAATATGGAACGTCTGGTTTTGGCCTGTGGTGGAGAAGCTGTGAATTCTGTCGATGACATGACACCCGATTGCCTTGGATGGGCTGGACTTGTCTATGAGCATGTTCTCGGTGAGGAAAAGTACACCTTTGTTGAGCAAGTGAAGAATCCTCATTCATGTACCATCCTCATTAAAGGTACTATGACCAACATTTATCTTTTGACTATTTTTTTTCCGTGTACGATTCTTCTCTGTACATGCTCATCCTTCACAACCTCGGTTTTGTAGGGCCTAATGACCACACGATTGCTCAAATTAAGGATGCTGTTCGTGACGGTCTCAGATCAGTCAAGAATACCCTTGAAGACGAGTGCGTTGTATTGGTGAGTACCTTCTTATCTTTGTAAACATCTAAAGAGTTCGCAAAGGCATACCGAACAAAAACAAGAAAGAAAACATGGTGGTGTTATTCTGGTTATGCTTATTTGTGATTGACGCTTACACAGGGAGCTGGAGCTTTTGAAGTTGCAGCGAGACAGCACTTAATCAACGAAGTCAAGAAAACCGTTCAAGGGGTATCATTATCATTGCTTTAATGCCTTCAACACTATATGCATCTCCAAGAGTCGGGTCGTTTGGTTAGAGGCTGCTAATGTCTGTGTGTGTGTATTGCAGCGTGCCCAACTGGGTGTTGAAGCTTTTGCTGATGCCCTTCTCGTGGTGCCAAAGACACTGGCTGAAAATGCAGGGCTCGACACGCAAGATGTGATCATTGCTCTAACTGTACGGCTTTATATTCCTCTTCCTCGTCTTTCGCAAAGAATGATGCAATTTTTTGTGTGTGTTTGCTATGGTCTGATCTTTTTCTTTTGTCGGGTGTAAATGAAGAGCGAGCACGACAAGGGGAACGTGGTGGGTCTGAACCTGCAGGATGGAGAACCCATCGACCCACAGTTGGCGGGTATTTTCGACAATTACTCTGTCAAACGCCAACTTATCAACTCAGGGTATGTCAGATCCAACCCTTTTTTTTTGTACAATCGCTTTTGCCCTGAGCTCCCATTTCTAGTGGGAGCAAATATGTCTGAAAGGCATGTGTTTTTCGGGACATGTCTAATGAATGCGTAAAGTTATGTCTGAAAATACTTATATGTGCCGGTTTGAATGGGTAAATATGCAGGCCGGTGATCGCGTCGCAGTTGCTGTTGGTGGACGAAGTGATCCGTGCGGGAAGAAATATGAGGAAGCCTACTTAGTCTGTAGTTCCTTTTTTTTTATTCCAAAGTCACTTTTTGGGATCTTAGATTTCATGTTTGAAATTGTGGGGGAGATGAAAAGAACTACTTGTTTTTTGGAAGGCGTTTTCTATGTGGTTTGTCACTGTTTTGATTGTTGGAAATGTGTTTCTTGTTGGACATTTACTTAGATTTCAGAGTTATGAGGGGAAAAAAATTTTCTTTTCGCATTCAAGGAATGTCCTGTCACTCTACTTCCGTATATAAGGAAGATAGGATAATAAAGGTGTTTGTATTGATATGACAAAAGCGCCAAAAGCGAGTTGAGGGATGACTTCCAACTCGGTTCCAGAGGAGCAGATATTGATCTGACTCGGACTCGGACTCGGACTCGGACTCAGTAAATGGCAGAGAGAAGAACTATCCCGTCTCACCAACTATATGGCTGCAGAGCTGTTGCCCTCTTCCTGGAGCATGTACTCCCTCTTCATTTCCTCCAAGACGCCATCGTTTGTGCTGCCAGAAATGAGCAAATATTGATGTCTATGCCCACTAGGCTGAATCTATACATATACCCTATAAGAATGGATGGGTTCCATAAACAAAAACCAGGGTCTCCAAGGGAACTTACTACTGGTGAAGGCAAGCATTTAACTCTTTAGCTTGGTTACGGCATTTCCACACAACAGAAAATGTTCTTCCTGTTGCGCATTGAGCGTACTTTGAGGTGTAATGATCACACTCCTTTAACGCCTTTGCCTTCATCTTGCTCCTCAGAGCTGTAACAATTCGGTCAAAGAACAACAATCCACCATGGAAAAGTTAGTACCTTCAACTATTCATCACAACCCACCAATTGTTGTTATTCCATCGGATTGATTTCGAAATGAGCAACTAGCCAATTTTGCTATTTATCGGTTTCTCCCCCATTTCCATGCCATTCATCAGCAGCTGAGGGCGGGCGATTGAGGGTTCGAAACATGTGATTACACAGTTAACAGATCATAGCTTTCCTCTCATTTTTCAGATGCCAAAGGCTTGTATTTCTAAGGGTTTATCGAAATCCTTCTACTTCCTATTTCTAAGATCGTAAAATCCCGGACCCAAGTTTCCGTCGGATTCTCCTCCACTTTCCCGACGTTTCTCGGAAACCAAACAGGGCTTTCAAGATGTGAACCTATTTATAAAAATCTACCATCTTCCGCTCTCTACCACAGAAAGGCGAAATATCGGATTTGAATTCCCCTCATTTTGCAGGAACCACAAAGTGTAAGAACCAGTGTCAATTAGGAATTAGGGTTTAGAGCAGCGAAGAACGGAGAAGTTACGACATTGATTTTTACCTTCTTCCACCTTCTTCTTGACGTGATTCTCACGCGCTTGCTGCACATACCCCATTGACGGACCTTCGAGCTTTAACGACTTCCCCCGATTCCAATCCGACCAAGCGATGTACAGAGGGATTGATCAATTTCTGGTGATATTATGAACAGAGAAGTAAATAATAAGGCCAAATTACAAAATCTCTTATTTACTTTTTATCTCCCGTATATTTTCATTTATTCAAGAAAGATCCTACTTATATAATAAATGCAGCATATAAGGTATCAATTATTTACATTTTCACCCATATAGTTTCTAAATATTCCAAATTGTCCCATATAGTTTGACAGCAAAGAAAATACATATACTAGTTGCCTTGTAAATATAATAAACGATGTGTAATTAATGCAATGTAACTACTTTAATTGGGATTTCAATTAAAAAAGGGGTAAATTAGCTGTACTGAAATTTAAAATAAACCTTGTTATTTGATTTTGCAAAATGATTTTAGTCTGGGTAAATTTTTAATTAGCAATGGCAATTAAGCGATAGCATTTTTAACCGCGGTCAAAAACCACCGTGGCATGGGTTAGAAGATGAGTTAGTACGGAATATTTGCAGCCCAACACTTGTCGTCTTGTCATTGGACCTTCCTTCTCTCTCCTCTAATTTAAAAGCCCCCCATTTTCGTCCCCAATTCCCAAAAAAAAGCCCTAAATTCGAATTCGAGTTCTAGAGGTACGCTTCTTCTCATCTCTCCTTGGTGTTTTCGTTTCATTGTTCGCACCTTTTTGTTCGTCTGTTTCCACTGTTGAACTCTTATCTCGATCCATATTCTGAGATCTGGTGGAGTTGCGACGTTATTCCATCGGTTTTGCTCTTCTGATTGTTTCCTTATAGATCTGGAGGTATTTCACCTTTGCGATGCTTGTCTTGTCTTGAATTCATGGTGTTTGGATTGATCTCTATGGTGGGTCTTGATGTCGTCCGTTTTTCTACTGAGAAAATGCTAGAAATGTTATAGCTTTGTGTTTTTTTTTTGGAAACGCTCTTTCGGTGTGGGCATATGCTTGGTTTTACTCTGACATTGACTTTGATCTTTAACGAAGTTGGTGAAACAGGACCTATAACAGTTTAACAAAGATGTCGCCTTCTGATTCGACCCGGGAAGAGAATGTTTACATGGCCAAGCTGGCCGAGCAAGCTGAACGCTACGAGGAAATGGTGGAGTTCATGGAAAAGGTTGCAAACACAGGCGACACTGAGGAGCTTACTGTCGAAGAGAGGAACCTCTTGTCCGTTGCTTACAAGAATGTGATTGGTGCGAGGAGGGCTTCGTGGAGGATTATATCTTCCATTGAGCAGAAGGAAGAAAGCAGGGGAAACGAGGACCACGTCTCGATGATCAAGGAGTACAGAGGCAAGATCGAAGCTGAGCTCAGCAAGATCTGTGATGGCATTTTGAACCTTCTCGAGTCTCACCTCATTCCTTCTGCATCCTCTGCCGAGTCCAAGGTCTTCTACCTCAAAATGAAGGGTGATTATCACAGGTACCTCGCCGAGTTTAAGACCGGAGCCGAGAGGAAGGAAGCGGCTGAGAGCACTCTGTTGGCCTACAAATCCGCTCAGGTTATCAGTTTGTTTGATTATCTAAATCTTTTGTCATCGGTTGTTCTCAACCTAGAGACCACCAATGAGCAGAAGGGTTAATGTTGTTTTTCTTGTGATGCAGGATATCGCTCTCACTGAACTGGCTCCTACTCACCCGATCAGATTGGGACTTGCGCTTAACTTCTCTGTCTTTTACTACGAAATTCTCAATTCACCTGATCGTGCTTGTAACCTTGCTAAGCAGGTCTGGATTGCTTGCTTATGCTATTTCTTTTCTTCTTCCTTAGTGGTTAATCTGCCCTGTTTCTATAAAAGCTGTGATGCTTTGTCTTTTGGCCGAGTGTTACTGTATAAATGCATGCAAGGTGGAATGTTAGTGTAGCCCTTGAATTCTCTAATCCATTTGCATGTATTATGGTGTCGGTTTAGAGCTAAGCTGGAACGGAATTGGCTTGATGCAGGCTTTTGACGAGGCAATCTCTGAGTTGGACACGTTGGGAGAGGAATCATACAAGGACAGTACATTGATCATGCAACTCCTCCGTGACAACCTGACCCTCTGGACTTCCGACATCAACGTATCTGTCTTCTCCACTATTCTATTCATTCGTCTACATCTAATAAGATTCAACCCATCTTTACATCTATTGTAGCTTCTAATGAGAGAGAAACTGTGTGGTGTAATTCCAGGACGAGGCCGGAGATGAGATCAAGGATGCCTCGAAAGGGGAAGCGGAAGAGGGGCAACAGGCGGCGCAGGCAGCAGCTCCACCAGCGCAGTGATGTGAGTGAGACAGGTCCCATGAGTACAAATACCGAATATCATTGCCCTAAATTCACAGATCAGTAGTTTTTATTTCTGTCTCTCTGGAAGATGTGGGTTTGTAGAAGCAGAAGTTTCGATTTTTCTATGGAAAACTCTTTTCTTTCTTGGTGGTGGAGCTTTGAGTGTTGTTTACTTTGGACTTGGGGAGGAAGGAAGAAAGAATGTCACAGTGAATGGATTTGGGATTTGTGATGTGCTTCTAAAAAGTAAAAGCTGCCCCTTTGATTTTGGTGGAGGATACAAGTTATTATGGAGCCCTTGTGTCTGAAAATGTGTTGTTTTACTTGAAATCAGTTAAACCAACTTTGGTTCGGTTTCAGTTTGAATTCCAATAACCTTGGCATTTTTGTAACACCTTTGAAACTATGGTCCATGTTCAAGATTATCTCAATCTAAGTCAAAATCCCTATCTTTTTTAAAAAAAAATAGCATTATAATATTACATTTTTTTTGTTTATTAATTTATTAGATATTTTATTTTATTAGCCGGTGTGGAATTATTTGCAACATACACATGATCTTTGCATATATATATATATACCAACATTATTCGCCATCTTGTTAAAAATGAGGAAAAACAAAATTAACATGTAAAAAAGAAAACAATAATAATAAATATTACCTATAACATCTAAATCATGGACCGACTGTAGAGATGGTGGTGGTGGTACATGTTGGCATATGTGAAGAATACAAGAAATTTGGGGAGAGAGAATCTATAAAGGGTGGCTTAGTGGTTGTACAATGACCATATCCATATCCATATCCATGTTCATGTCCATGTGCATGTCATTGTTCTCATCGCCATCACCACAATTCATTTTGTTCAAAATACAATCCACCACTTTCTCCTCGGTTAGGTTAAGTATACCGAAATTAGATAACCGAACCGGTTGTTGAGCCGAATCCGGGTATTTTGTTAAAACAAAAAAAAGGAGATTGGTGTGCCCAATATGGTATATGGGGAGTGAGCCATGGAGATGATATATACATATATCCAAGATCAAAAAACCATTTAGAGCACAATGCTTTGATAGATATAGCTTTAACAGACCAACATGTATGGGTCTCTGGCCCAATATACATAATATAGTTATATGGACCAATTATATAATAGCGGTTCATGCAAATTCTAAAAACCAAATACAGGAAGATGTATGCATCTGATAAAATGAGTGGGTCTTTTTCTCAATTATAATTGTAAAATTTAAATTAAAATGCCAAGAAGAAATATCTCCTCCTTTTGTGAGAAAAAACGGAAGATATCAACATGTTTTGTGGATGAAATTGAAGGACAAAAAGTTTTCTGAAGGGCCCACCAATGAAAACATATTTATATAAACAGATTTCATATTTTCAGTGTTCATTCAATTGAATGTGTGTGTTGTGTATGTATATATACACACACATATACATACATATACGGTGGGTCTATGGTTTATGAGTTACTCATCATGATTAATTTTTTGTTGTTATTATCATCATCATCATTAAACAATTAAGTACATTAATATTAAATGCTATATTAAAATGATAAAAACCCATAGTGCATCTAGAGATTGATCTCCTACAGTAACCCTAGCTATTTCAACCACATGCATATTCTAAATTCAAATATTGATATATATATGACCATGTAAAATTATGATTCCATCGATCCATTTAGACTTATGATCAATGAATCAAATATCAGTTGTATTCGTTAAAATATGATATACAAGTCATGGGCGGACCGATGTAGAAGGTAGTAGGGGCATTGGCCCCCACTTTTAAATAAACAAATAAGTATTTTCTTTATAAATTATATAAAATTTTAATTAAAATCGTTCAATGCCCCGTAATAAAATTAATTTTGTTTCTCTAATTATAATTTATGCCTCCAATTAAAAATTATTCTCGATCCGCCACAACAACTAACCTTACAAAACAAATGAAGAAAAATAATTTTCTCTCTCTCTCTATATATATATTAATGTGTATATTCGTACGTGAAACACAAGAATGAAATTGTCACTATTTCCAAGATATCAGATGCTTAATTGTCCAGAAACTAATCCCTCTATACTTATCAATGATTAGTGAACCAAATCACAAAGCTGATCAAATAATCCTTGATACGTTGAACCGTACAATTTTTTTTACGGACATAATCTTCGAATAATCCAAGACAAAGATACGGCTCAAGATGATTAAGTTCGTTGTTACTAATCCATAATTAATTTGGAAAACAGAAAAAAAAAATAGTAAATTACGATTAGTGAGGACACAAAAAGTAAAACAAGGTTGTCTTGTCTGGGTTATGCCTAACACTGTCACGCGACTTTCACTTGCGGCTTGCTCCACATGCTGTAATCATATATATATATATATATATATATGTTATATTTTTTCGGTTTTTCAAATTTAAATTTGGATGGAAAATGAGGGAACAATAACTTCGGGGACAACACAAGTTCAAGACTCATCAATGGTAAGTTGCTCTTTTTTTTTTTGTATAAAAGATATACATTTTATTGGCAATTCACTGCATTTGCTGGCTTTCGGAGTCAACATGTTGATAAATTTACATAAAATATCATATGGGTTATCCTGAAATCACTAAATTTAATATGCAATGTTTTATATTGTTTAATCTTTTCTTTATTTTGAAAAATAAAATAAAATAAAAAGTTTTGTGATTCTTAAGTGAAAGATAAAACTATATATCATTCAATACTTTGAGAAATGGCCAACAAATATTTTGATTTGTATTGGAATGTAACGTTTTCATAATCATATGACATGAAAATTGTGAAGAATTATACAGCTCGTCTTCAACAATCTTACCATAGATTAAAAAGATTCTGTTCATGAAACATGTCATAGGGAAATGAGATTAATGTAGAAGGCACAAGACAGTTTCAAGAAATCGAGGCTTAAAACTATGGGTTTGGCGATTAATTAAGGAACTAATTATTGAGTAATTAATAATATAATGGGCAAAAGTTTTGTATGGTTGGGTGGGGGCTTTGAAGCAAGGCCAGGTTCAAGTTACGGCTGAGTGCATGGCGGAACACGAGAAAAAGACACGTGGGATCATGTTTTTGCCTTGATATTATCTAAATTGAACCATTAAATTAATTAAGTTTAATCAGTAATCATGTCCTATTGATGTTGGGTTTGATGAAGGATTCACATAAACAACGTTTGGCAACTTCTAGGGACTGCAGATTTATAGTAAATCGTGTGATGTTTTTTTTTTTTTTTTTTTTTTTTATCTAGGGTTCGAATTGGGGCGAGGGAACTTTGTCTCTTCTCACCTTACCATTCAGTCACCCCAAACTGAATAATCAGTTATCATAAGTTAAATAAGTTATGATATTAATTTGATTTTACGGTCGATGAATCAAAATTGAGTGAATTAATGGTACCAAGCGAGTAGGAAACAATCAACGTCCTCCCATTTTATTGGGTTTGGTCCATTTCATTCGAAGCAAAAGCTTATTATATATGATTTAGTTGGTCAACAAAAGGATTTCACTATCTAAGAAATATAGTCTCAATTAATATATTCTTATACTTAGTTATACAAAATTAGTGATTCCATATATATATATATATATTGATTTTATATATTATTATTGTGGTTGTTATTATTAAAATTAAGAGATGTTATACAACCGATTGTATACAGCCGACGGATGCATCTTGGTTGGTGGGTTCATATTCTTGTGCAAGTTGGTGACGTGGCCTAATTATAAATGTGAGTACTTGTTCAAAGATTGTTATATCCATCATTTTAAATTAATCGGATAATCAGACCTTTTTTTTTAATATTTGAAATATTCTGCGGGGACCACAAAATCCTCACTATATATATTCCCTCACATATCTTTCTATAACAGTCCCAAGCTTCTCTCTTCTTCAGTTAATTAACATCTCTCTCTCTCTCTCTCTTCTCTCTCTCTCTCTCTCTCTCTCTCTCTCTAAGATTATAGGTGGACATATGGAGAGCGTCAGAAACAGCTCGGAGAAGAAGACGTCATACAGCAGAAGACTTGGGAAATATATGAGAGAACAAAAGGGGAGGATTTACATCATAAGAAGCTGTGTAGCCATGCTCCTTTGCTGGCATGATTGAACATGCATGCATGTACATGCACATGCACATGCACATACACATACGCATGTGTCTGTGTGTGCGTGTGTACTGTTTTTGCCTTTTGTAGTCCGTTTTGTAAATACATATAGTTGAGAGTGATCGATGACCAGTTAATCAGAAGATCTCTACCTTTTTATGCAGTAAATCAAGAGTACAACTTCATTGTTTATGAATCAGAACTCTTCCGA